TGTGGATACCAACGTATAGAGGCGCCATCATGAAACACAAACTGTTATATGAAGAGCAAATCTAACCTTCCAATGTACGGGCTTCCGAGAATATTTTGGCTATACATGAAAATAATGTGTATTTTTTGGTGTATTATTATCAAAACGAACGAATAACTACTGCTGGTACTAGACGAAGTGGTGTCGGGTGCATAATAGTCGGCGTTGCCTGAATATAATGTTCTTACGCCTTTTTAATACTTCTTAATGAAAATTCGTTCGCAGTAATAATTTGACATAAAAATTAACCTCTCAGAATTTGGACCACTTAGGTCTATTTTTTGGATCACAATCTATGTGAGGGTTCTAATGAAAAATAAGGCTTCGGGTACGTCAAAAAGGTTTAATTTTCAATTTGTTACGATGAAACTTGGTCCTCTTAAATCAATCACAAAGAATTGGGATCATAAAGACCATTTTTTAGACCGCACCATATATAGAGGGTGCGGACTCAGACCGAAGCAATTGGAAAATGATAAAATCTTTGACAAGTAAATTAAGTTTGCTAAATGTAGACCATGCTGGAGTTGTATTATCCTTCAATATGAAGGCTTTCATAAAAATTATACATTTACGTAAAAATAATCGATTATTTTATTTATAATAAACTATCTGAAATAGTTCAGAGTATCTAATGGACGGCCTAAAGAATTGTTGTTTTGCAGTGGCACTATGTTTTATAATTTTTCGTTCCTATTTTGCTCACAAAAACAAATTAAAATTTTATAATTAAAAAAAAGATTGATCAGCATTAAAAATACGAAAACTTTTTTGTCGAATACGACGCCTAAGCTATTTTCATCATAAATTATCAAAAATTACACCTTGTAGCCAAATAAATATTTATGTTTCATGGCGTTATATGAGGAGTGACCGTAAAAGTAGTCGCATTCAATCAATTTTCCATAGGATTCGTCTCTGCTTTAAAATATGTAGGTGCGCCCCTCTTCATAAAATTCTTTTAAAAATTATACGGGCAGACAATAGACGGACAACGGAATTGACATGGTTTTATCGAATCGAGAAGTGTTCCTACATCACGTTTCATTAATTTTCTGAACAAAATATTAAAGACTCTGCTTTGCCTCTTCTCAAAAGCGTATTACCCATGGCAGTCCTTGTATGGGAGTCGAGGGGCAACAAACAGTGAATTTAAGTCGTCCAAATTTGACAAAATTGAGTTTCTTTGCAAAGATCTGATTATTCTTCGCCTATTTTAATTATAAAGTACGAAAAATAAGATCTTGTTGACTTTTATTTGTCTATTTCTCAAAGGAATTCCTATATGGGGCAGGGTTAAAAAACAAAACCTATGTCGTTAAAGTTACTACAGTTAATTTTCATATCAAAGCTTTGTAATAGAGCAATTTTCGCAGTAAAACATTAAAGAGTAGGTATTTAGCACAAGAACTGTAGAATCTGTCATTCATGAATCTGTCATTCTTATGTTCAATGTACAGGTCGAGATTTTTGAGATATGTTGATGAAATTGATTATCCTAACCTGTTTTGGTTAACGCTATATGAAAATGGTTTCGATCGGACCACTTTTCCAATAATTCCCAATTCATTATGCCTTAATTTGAAAAGTCATGAGATGAAATCGTTAAGTAATAGTATTAGGGCATTTTATATTGTGGTAAAGAAATCGAATTGAATGGTGAACATTTTTGAGACCTATCCCGTATACGGACTCCCATGAAAAGTCTAATTTTTAACATTTTATGATGAAAGTCGGGTCATAAAGTCAATTTTGGCAAAAATTGACCGTAAGGATACTGGATCATAGGCGGCTATTTTTTAGATCCCATCTAATCTAGTCTAATATACAGTTCTTTATAACGAAAATGCATAAAAACTGATAAAAATCTTAACAAGAAAATTCAAAATTGTAAAAAATTTGAACCACGTTAGTTTATGTTTTACCCATTCTCATATATAAGAGCTTTTATGCCTTTACGCCTGTGAAAATTAATTTTAATTTTTGGTGTATTAGACGATTGTTTGGAGATTGTTAAATAGTCAGGCTTGGATCAAGTATAAAGTTTTTACTTTTTACATGCTACTTCACCTGTCGTACAAGGGTATATTAAATTCGTGCGGATGTATTTAACACCCAGAAGGACTTGAAATAAGCCCACCTTTTATTATACCAAGCAAAAGTGGTCTGTTCGTCTGTCTACCTTTATTTCTTGTATTCAACCTACAAGCCCTAATTTTATGAGATGTTTTGATGAATTTTGGTACACTGACTTGTTTTTGCCCAAGAACACACGCTCCTGAAAATGGTTCAGATCGGTCCAATTTTTCGACAACTTGCCGTATAACGTTTCATTTTAAAACTGTAAAGAAGTGTAGGGTCGAGTCGTACCCCACTCAAGTGTTTTTACTTGTCTTTAATATGAATTCTTCAAAAATTTTGTAACTTCTTCTAACGTTTATTTGCTTTATTCAATAGAGCTAAATAAAATCTTCGTGCAATTTATAGATATGCGCTTAAAGTATGCTTAAAACCAAGTAATTCATATTCACATGAACGATGGTGTTCAAGTAAGTTTGCAGTGTTAGTATCATCGCCCAATCTATTCTATGATCTTAGTTACGCGTTCGAGAAGAGTTTATGCAATTGAAAGAAGAAAATGTTTAACAAGAGAAGTCGAAATTTTATGCATTTCACCTAAGCTTAAATAAGTGATTTATTTATTGGTGGAATATTTACAAAAACCAACTCAAACACAACATCCGATAATCTGAATAAAGGTAATGGTTGTAGAGAGGCCTACGTTTATTCCATCGAACGTGCGATTCTTAAAACTTTAAAGTAAAGTTAATTACATTAAAAACGGAAAGAGCCAATTTCCGACGTCCCATAGATAGTTCCATTTTAGATAGCAGATTGTTTGATCAATTGATGTCTTGAATGATGGGGAATGTACGTTTTTTGCATAACTATTAGCTAATACATGACTTCGAAGTGAACAAAAATAAGAAGCAGGAAAGTTGTAGTTATGTGGAATATTCCTCCCCCCTCCCCCCTCTGCCGCAAAAGTGTATATTTTTAATAATTTAATGTCGGAAATGTCGTAAATATGCGAAGTAGTTAACGTTATGTAAATTTGCTGTTGGTGAATCAAAGAACATTAAGGGAGGTGGTAAAGTGTTCGAAAAAGAGAAGAGAATCCGAAACATGAGCGCCTGCAAAAATCTGTGCGAGTATTTGACTTGATTGATTGACGCAAATAAAGTCAGAGTTTATTTACGTTGAGCCTTAAAGCTAAGCAGCTCATAGGTGCAGCATGCCACAAACGGCATGTGCATACGTATGCATGTAGTCGTCAACCATTGACAATAACTCAATGGCCCTTAAAATGAGGTCAAGTGAATACTCATACGGCTCAATAGTAGTTATACGCGTGCACAAAAACATAAATTGAATAGTATATACGTACCTTTTTTTTTTTTTTTTTTTGTGCAAAATTTAGATTTGTTGAACAAGTGCGTTACGACTGCCTTATGGGATTAGGTTGTGTTAGTTTTTTGTTTTTTGTTTTTGTTTTTTTTTTTTAAATAAGTGAGATAGAGATGGGTAGCATTAATAAAAGGAAGTAAAGTTGCAGTTCTTTTGCTGTTGTTGAACGGAAGCTGGGCGTATATGATATCAGGGTATCATTTCAGGTTAAGTCGTGTTTTCCTCTGCTCGTTATTCATGATTTTTCCTTTTTAGGTCTTTTGAAAACGAGTTCATCAGATTTGTATGGGATTGTGTAAAAAACACGACAAAACCAAAGGCCAGAAGCAACACATGTGTGATTGATTTCAATAGAGCTCGATTTTGTTGGACTCGCTTGCTGCTTTATTGCGTCATCACACCATATTGCGATATTATCATGATTTGCGTACACGCCATAGTTTGTTTTGCTTTTTATTAACTTTTACAATACGTTCAGCACATATCTGTGGCTTTGCATTTATTTTCTTCGAATGACAGTTGGTTTATGTTTCAAGTTCAGAAAATTAACAAGAACATACAAATACGAAAAAAGAGATTTCTTCTTTTTTTTTTTTTTTATTTTTGTTTTTTTTTTTTTTTTTTTGTTTTTCTTTTCTGCTTTCTCTGGCTGAATGTTTGGTCTGAAAATTTTGTATTCTATGTTGTATTACAGGAAAATGAAAGAATTTGCGGTGTTTTATTAGCCGCTTTACTCATTTCTCGTCATTTTTCTGTTGGCACTTATAGCGTTGTTGTGTTTATTGAAGGTGTAGAAAAAAATATGTATAAAATACAACAGTTATAAATATAGGTGCTATTAGGTGATGTGTAGATAGATATAGAGAGAGAGAGAGAGAGAGAGAGAGATATTTATATATATATATTTATATATAGAGAGAGAGAGAGAGAGAAAGAGAGAGAAAGATTTATAGAAATTGAGAAAGAGAGATTATCACGCAAGAGAGCGCGTGAATGTGTTCTTTCTTTTGCTTATGTGCGTTTAGTAAAAGTACAAAAGAAAAAAAAAAAAATAAACAAAATAAAAAAAATAAAATAAAATACACTTGTTACCGGATTACCACATAACTGTGTTTTCATTCGTTTCTTAAAAACAATAATAGTTTACATTATTTATGCATATGCGGGCGTGTGCAAGTTATAATGCCTGCTTAATCAAGGCTTTAAAGAAAAGGATTCTCACCTGCACGCGCACACTCTTGCAAACACATGCATGCACTCTTGCGTGTACGTTATAGTGGGTCAATTAGTTGAAAAAAGAATGAAACAGAAAACACACAATAACAAAGTATTGAGAATAAAAAATGATAGCATGTGTGATAAAGTGTGTGAGTTTAGTTTTTCAATTTTTTTTTTTTCAATTTTTTTCAAATTTTTTTTTCAATTTTTCAAATCAATTTTTTTTTTTTTTGTTTTTTCTTTTGCTTGCTATTGCTTTGTTAATGTGTTTTTACCCAATAAACTAGCGAAGACCATTACGAAGCATGTTCCCAGATACACATCAATGGATTTGACATATGAAATTTTTGGCAGGGCAGCATTAGTTGATGACATCAGCGTGGTCATTGTTAGTACGGTGGTGACACCGAGCGCCACGCGAGCTGGCGTGGCGTTGCGATTAAGCCAAAATGATACCCATGATATAATAACGATCAGTCCAGATGGTATATAAATTTGTATTAGATAATAACCCATCGAACGCACAAATTGTATCTCACAAGCCAAACGTGAATAATTTCCTATTGTTGCGGTAAATACGATGTGGATTAAACAAAATAAGAATAAAATATATTATTATCAGTATTTTGACTATTTTTCATTTCATTTATATTCATTTCGTATTTTTGAATAAATATTGATATTTATTTTCATAATAAATTTTAATTTGTTATATGATAACAGAAAAAAAAAAACCAACAACAATAATTAATAATGATATGTTATTATAATTTCATTATTATTAAAAAAGAAGAAGGCGAAGAAAAACAAAAGAAAAAAAAAAAAGATATAAAAAAAATTAAATTAAAAACATAAAAAACAAAAATAACGACAATAAAAAAAAATAAATTTTTTTTTTTTAAAAAATTTTTTTTTTCTTTTTTTTTTTTATTTATATATATATATTTTTTTTTTTTTTTTTTTTTTTTAAATTAAAAAAGAAGTTTAGTGCAAAAATTCAATAAATGTACTACAACAAACGTTAATAAAGTAAAATCGTAACTTTAAATAATAATAGTCGCAATAGTAATAACAATAATAATAAAAATGACAATGACAATAATATAATAAATATGTCATTAAAAAAAAAAAAAAAAAATAATAAATATATAAAATAAAATATACAACAGAAACGATATGAACTGTAAAAGAGACATGTTTTTCTTTGCATGAAAGTTAAAAAAAAAAAAAAAAAAAAATTTTTATTATGAAATATATTTTTAAAGCATACATTTTTTAACATTGTGTGTGTTGCTCACATCTCATAGGTTAAACAGATTTATAGCGACCGATTTATTTATATTACAAGCGATTTTGAATTTCTATACTGGACTAATATCGCCAAACTGTTTATGCCTCCATTTCAAAACGCTTGTGCTTTGCATTTGAACATTTATGAGGAACTCACATTGCAGGCGTTTCATTAAATGCACAAACTTTCCTTGTTTCTTTTTTTATGGTGGAAATGGAAAATGGCGCTAAGAAAAACGGACGTTTTTACATTTAGTTAGTCCTCTGTCGCATTTTAATGCAAGATGGGCGATTGTCTTTCATTTGTATTTCTATTTTTAAGAGACTTGAGCATCGAATGAGTAAAAACAATTTTACAAACTGCATTTCAAGTGAAATCGAGTTGTGCTTGACTTCTTCACATGACAATTTTGACAATTTACTCAGGAATTTATGATGAAATAAGAAGCGTTTAAAAGTTACCACGGTCGGATATATATTTGTTTAACTGCAAATTGTCCAAGAAGGATAAGAGCATAAGAATATCGAAATAAAGAAATCGTGACAATATATATATGTGACGGTATATATATGCACAAAATTATTTCGCGTTTTTTGTTTTTTATCCTAAAGATAATTTTTTTACTTCAAACGTGTAGCAATAAGTTAAGTTAAGTTTTTTAGCAATAAATTCCGTTCAATTTATAACTGTTTAATCTATGAGAGAATGTCTGATGACTCATTATGATGATATGTAGCTTTGAGAGCTGTTAGCTTATTTTAATTATGGCAAAGAAGATAATTAAAAAACTATCACAAAATCTTTAATGCAACTCACTAGCAGCTGATTAGCCAAGACAGAAACCTAAATTAGTCAAATTTAGGCTTTTTTAAAACGAGACACGTAATTTCGAATATCATATAATTTGCTTTCTTCTTTTTTTTTTATTTTTTTAATTTTAAGTTTTTTTTTTTTTTTTTTTAAAATTTTTTTTTTTTTTTTTTTTTTTTTTTTTTTTTTTTTTTTTGGCAAAAAGTTATCATATTTAATAGCATGCTTGGGAGGGCGCTTTAATTGATTACTAGTCCTAATCGACTAATTTCGTTTTCATAGACTACAAGTACATTTACATATGTATATATGTAATAAATACTCTAAAATGCATTCTAAATATTATTATAATGAAATAAGAAATATTCTTTTCTAGAATTGTTTTTTTTTTCTTTTTTATTTTTTTTTTTATAAAAAATGTTTTAAATTTTTGACTAAAATGCATAACAAAACTGAAAAAACAGAAAAATTGAAGAAATTGTATCGAAAGCTTTTATATTACTTTATTAAAGAAAAGAAGTAAATTGTGAAAAAAAATATTGATGCCATTTATTCAATGTATAGCTAATATATACTATATTTATAAATAACCATGGATTTATGTATGTATTGATGTCTTGATGTCTTGAATCGTATTAACACAGTTTTACACCTTTCTTTTTTTTGCTTTGTTTTACTTTGCATACCCACCACGAAGAACACAAAGGGAGTAATTATAAGTTTTTCTAATTTTGTCTTTTTTTCATCTATAAATCGAATCCTATATAATTATGATTTTGCTGCCAAGTTATTTTTGGAAAAATAAAATGAAATCAGTTAATGCAGAATTCGCATCTTTTTTCATTAAATTCATGGATAGATAGAAAATTTTTTTTTATTATTAACCTAAGGACGCCTTTAATTCGATCTCCTTCTACTGATTATGGTATAAGAAAGCGTCATAACGCCGAGAGAGAGTTTGAATTATTCAAGCTCAACATTGAAAGGAAGTAGAGTAACGCGATTAAATGAAAAAGGGACATCGATGTGAAGAAGATATTATTAGGTGCACGTTTCTCGTGTTTTTTTTTTTTTTCTTGTCAATTGCATTACTAAGTGTGAGTATATTCGTTGTAATGCAATGACAGTATATTTACATGTGTTTTCATATATTTTATGATGATATTAAGAACGATATCCGTTGTTATGCTATATTAAAAAAAAAAAAAAAAGCTTGTGGTGGGTAATAAGAGTTTCGATTTATTCCGAACATTATTATTGTTATTTTTTCTTTTTTTTTTAATATTTATTTATTGTTTTTTTATTATGAGAGAAGAAATTTCGGTGTCTTTTTTTTATTAAAATCGATTGGTGTCACACTATAATGAGATCACATGAAGGCTAGATCTGCGTTTTAATTACAAATGAAAATAACAAAAAAAAGGAGAAGAGGAAGAAAACAATTATGAAGAACTGAAATAAAAAAGAGAGACAAAAGAATAAATTTTAGAAATTGTCTAAAGTCACATGCGGCTTATTAAGGTTTTTAATCATTCGTTTAAGAGAAAATTTTACGGCAATAGGAGAAAGCTTTTAGAACGCGCGCTAGTATTTAGCTATAAACTATTAAATGTTGTATTTATTGGTTTTTTAAAAATGCAAAAAAAAAAAAAACAAAAAAAAAAATTTGATATTTTGATATATATTTTACAAAAAAAATTTCAATATATATATTATCAATATATATATATTTCATATATTTCAATATATATATAAATTTCAGTATATATATATATCTATATATATATATATGAAAATGTAACATGCTTAAGTTATAGAAAAATATTATTTATTAATTTATTTATTTAAGACACATATGTACGTAGATATATGTAAGTAAACAAAATTTAATTAGTATAAAGCTCTTTTAAATATTAATGATATATGAGAAAATTAAGGAAATGATTCTGAATTTCATTTAATTTACTGAACATTTTAATTAAAAAATTATGTACGAATAATTTTTCTGAATTTTATAAATAATTTCATTTATTTACACTCTTTGCGACGACAACGCAAGTGTCTCAAGAGAATAAATAAAAAAAATTATTAAAACACACAAAATATTTATCTCAAGGGAGGTAGGCTTTCTCAATTAAGACAACAAACAAAACAATTTTGGATTTGTTTTGGCTTTTGTTTTTGTTTTTGTTTTTTTTTTTTTTTGGCATTTTTTTCACCTTCACTTTTGTGATTTCTTTTTTTTTATTTAATGAATGACTATAATCAGAAATCAAAAAAAAAGTTCATGAAAAAAAAAAGAGGAAGAAGAAGAAAGAAAATGTTTTCTAACAAATAATGATATAATAAAATAGAATACAACGAATAAGAAAAAGATAAAGAAAATATAAAGAATTCGGTAACCGTCTACAGGTACCTGTGGTAAGACTGATTTCCATAGCTCTCTGACGATGACCCAGAACCTTAAATTGTGGTAGCGAAACCTCACTCGAGACACCAACCGAGTTTGGTCCTTCATTCCATTTATAACGTATGTCACGCATCGTATAGCCGACTTTACAGTTTTGTATATAAATTTTATATATCATATATATATATATATATATATATGTATATACGTATATATATATATATTTATGCATTTATATATACGTATATATATATTTATGTATTTGTATATATGTATATATATTGTATTGGTTTTGTTTATTATTTATATATATTTACAAATATTAACTTAAAATTGATTTAATGATGGATGACGAGTGAATGAGTTTATATATTTTATATATATATATATATATATTTATATATAGTATTCCTTTTCTTTCGGTATCGAACGAATGAAGTGTTACAAAAACGATTGCAAGTGTTAGAAAATATTAATTTGAAAAGTTTGTGTTGCTTTTCCCTTATATTTATTAACTATGTTTCATCCTTTTTTTAAATTGTTTTAAATTTTTTGTATAACAACATTAACTATAGATGACAGTATGCAAATCAGATCAGATCGATTGTGTATATAATTTTTCAAAATAGAAAAATTTCATCAGAGTCAAGTTTCATTCCCCTGATTACTAATGAAATTACTGGTTCAACACTTTAATTAAGTTTATGGTAGTTGTCCTCTAGTCTCCTTTGTTTAGCATTACAATTCAAGAGATTCATTGGTCTCATCATGAAATATATTTATGCATAGAGATGCGCTTATTAGAATCAAGCTCTAAAGTAAAGTAAGTAAATCTTATGTTCCGAAACATAAAGCGAAACTTTTCCAAATAGAGGTCAGGAAAGTCTTTACATTAATGGACAAAATTCTATCGTAATCAGGTATATAAGTCATATAAAATAGGATCAAAGTTTGGATATATATTTCCATTTACTGGATACTTGATGGGTTTGGGAAGTTATCAGTAGCGCAATGGTTTCCATTTTCTTAGTTGAATGTCACAAACTAGTCCTGAAAACTATTCGTCCACATACGAATAGTAGGATAAATGAAAACGAAATTAATTTAAGAAAAGAATGGAAATATCGGGGCATATTCGTTAATGGCATATGACTTTGAAAAGATTAGGTTATGAAATTGTTATTACAGCGATATAAATATCGATCGTGAAAAGCGGGCACGATGGTGCTTAGCGAAGACCCATTCTAAACAGGGTGTATCTTATATATATATATATATTGTTTTTTCTTCTACACATACACACACACATCCACACACACACACACAAATTTATAATTGTGATAATTTTTTTTGCATAAAAAATTTTCAAAAGTAAATTCAAAAGCTTTGAAAATTTTATTGCTCTATAAAAATTAATGAAAAATTCTGCATAATGTCAACTAAACTGTAATGTTGTCTGCCTTCCATGGTTGCAATAGGACCAATAAAAGTTATCCAATCATTAGCAATTGTTATATGTTTATAGATATGTTATGGATGTTGTCGTGTGGTGTTTTGGGTTTTTTTTTTTATTGTTTAAGTAGCGTATATATATATATATATATATATATATATATATTCTTTCTTTTTTTTGATTATTCTTAAGAATTAAGAGAGACAAAAAGAAAGTGTTCACTATATATTGATGTATGTATGAATACTAAAGCTACTGTTTGTTCATATGGGCAGTAGTAGAATAATAGAAGTAGTGTTTTTGTCTTTGTTGTTTTTTAATTATTTTTTTTTTTTATTTTTTGTTAAGCTTAATATTTAGCTTAATTTAATATGTATGTATGTTTCATACTATGGTACGCAAATGAAAGCAGATTGAAGTGCTCTCGTGTCTGCTTAACTGCTTGTTAGTATTTATTAAAAAACTATATATAATGGAATAGACTTGAATAGAGATATGCAAAAAAAAAAAAAAAAAAAAAAAATTATAAAACGAAGACCCTCCTGAGCATTTTAGATAGAGAAAAAAAAAATTTGCTTTTCCTTTATATGTTTTTAAATTCTTGCTAACAGTTTTTTAATTTATTTTTTTATTTTTTCATTTTCTATTATGCCTGCCCAAGCAAATGTAAGATATCTCTTCAGGTCTTTTAGGCGAATTTAAGAAAAAAAAGAAAAAGCTATTCACTCATTTATTTACTATTTTTCATTCGAATTTTAAATTATTATACTTGAGTTATAATTTTTTCATTTCATTTCTGTTACGATATTATTTAGTTTAATAAAATCAAAAACCGGTGAATAATAAGAGAAATAAGTGCTCACTTCATTTAAATACGTTGAAAAACTTAAAGCCTTATTTTAATGAAATAAAAAAAATCTCTCAAAGGAAAAAAAAGACACAAACATAAACGGAATGAGAAATTTTCTGAATAATATATATATGTGTAAAAAAAGAAGAAATTTCATTGAATTGAATATTTCTATACCCACTCGCTAATTTATTACTTAAATGCATATTGTTGCCAATTGTTTACATTTAAGTTCCAGTTAATTTAAAAATTAATTTCATAAAAACGATTGAAAATAATATAAAATTGCTAACAGTATGCATTTAATGGTTAAAAATAAAACACTCTGCACAGGTTGCTACATAAAGAAATTTTGAGATTTCGAACACACGATGTAGATCTACATCGAAATCGATATTTCGTATCCTATATATCGTATATCGTATATATATCAAATATCATTGTCCCGCTATTCTGCAGTGCCTTAGCAATGCCAGCTTTTGAGTTTCTCGTCATAGCGATGATAAGAAAAATTTTTGATTTTTTCTTTTTTTTTTGTCCTTTCGCTTTCGCTTTGGCTTTTGTTTTTTTTGTTTTTTTTAACTCATTCTTCTTTCGTTTTTATGAATGTAGGAATGAAGGGTTTCATTTTCAAAGTTCAACTGCGGGATATTCGCTTCTTTTTGAAATTTTGGATAAATGCATTGAAGAGTGCGAGCAACGGAAATACAGCAGATTGTTAAATTTCGGCGGTGGGTATAAAAGGAAATTGAAACTGAAAAGATGAACGCATCATAGATAGGATTAACAATTTTGAGATTTATATAAAAGTAGAGAAATAGATATGGAAAAAGTTAATATTGTTATCATAATTATTTGTTTTTTTTTTTTTTTTTTTTTTTTTTTTTATGTTCTTGTTTAAATACATAGTTTGCTCTCCAAAAACTTATTTAAAAGAAACAAAAACAAAAACGGAAAAAAAAACGAAAGAAGAAGACAAGAAATTTAAGTAGAGAGAAAATCAACTTGAAAAAGAAAGAAGAAAAAACTTACGTAACGTTTTTGTGTAATGAAAATGCCAAACTTAGAATGAAAGTAATTTTTTTGTTTTGGTAGTGAAAACAAAAATAGAAAATAAAAATTTGAAATTATTGTTGGTTGTTTTTTTTTTTTTTTTAATGGAGGGTACCTGTGGTTAGGTTTATTTCGGTCGCCCTCTGCCTGTGTCCCAATACGCGAAACTGTGGAAGTTCAACCTCACTGCTCATTCCAACACTACTCAGTCCATCTCTCCAGAAATAACGGATATCTCGCATCGTGTAACCGACTTTACATGAAATTGTGATTGTATTTGTTTTGATTTCGATTGCATGATATATAATTTTTTGTTAATTTAAAAAATTTGTATCATTTTTTTAAATTTTTATAATATTCATTCAATTCAACGTTTCATTTGTTTGTTTGGTTGATTGATTGGGTACATGAGTGGATTGGATAATGTGAGAACTTACACATTAACATTTATAAACACACATACAGTGAAACGAACTAAAAATCAAAAAAAAAAAAAAAAACCAAAAGTAAATAAACAAATAGAGCAACAGAGCAAAGTGTGAGACTAAAGCCAAATCATTTAATGGATAAAAGGGATAAAAGTGAGAACTGTTTAAAAATTTAAGGTGAAAACGTATGTGAAACTAATATAATACTAATAATAATGATAATAATAATAATAATAAATAATGATAATAATAGTAAATTATAAATTAAAAACAATAACTTATAATAATAATAATAATACTAAGAGTTGTGCATGAATTCCAAGTCAAGTGAATTATATTCTTTCGGTGAAAAGTGAAGAAAACAAAAAAAAAAAAAAAAACTGAAAAAAAAACAATAATAATAATAATAATAAAAAAAAATTAAATAAATTAAGTGAAATTCCGAAAAAAGTTTAGACCTACTATTGATTTTTTGTTTTTGTTAACGAGAGAGATTGTGTATTGTGTGTATTTATTGAATAAAATGCAATGCTTAATGAACTAAATAGACGGATACATAACCAAGCAGGTTCGCTGCTAGCACCAGACAAAAAGCAAAACACAACTCTGTGCCTTTTCTTTTATTTTCACTGCAATGTTTGTTATTTATTATTATTATGGTTTTGTTTTTTTTTGTTTTTTTCTTGTTTTTTTTTTTTAAGAACTGAATAGAAATTATTAATAAAAATGTTTCTATATAGAGTGTGAACGTGATTTTCAATAATGTTTTCAAATTCGTTTTTTCAACTCCTGATGCCTTTGAAAGTTAGGTCGTTATAAAATATAATTTTATAGAGATTTCTTAAGTTTTGAGAGAAATAAAAAAAAAAAAAAATTCTTTTATTAACCGCCTTCTGCGGTTGCTGTAAAAGAGAAGGCGACCGAAAACTAACCAATTTCTTAAATTAATTTTAATCAATGAAATTTTGTTTTGAATTGGCGCCCAATGAAACGATTTAAATGCTTATGAATATGAGATAAATGACTTTTTTATTTATTTATTTATTTTTTTTTTTTGGTAAAAATATTTGAAATTGTCATCTGTTTTATAAAAAATTTCTCGACTGTTTGCGAAATTGAAATTAAAAACAAGAAGATATATAACTAAGAAAATAAAAAACGAAAATATTAAACTGCAACGTAGAGCGTTTCTTTCTCTGTTAGCCTTTCTTCTATGCATTTTACTTATATTTGTTTATGTTATTCTTTTTTCTTCTTTTTTTTTCATTTATTTTTTCTATTTTTTTGGTGAAAGAAAGTGAAAAATTTTCAAGTTTAGAGTTGAGTATAAAACTGAAACAATTTTGTGAAATTAGTTTGTGAAATAAGAAAGCAAAATAAAGGAAAAAAGAAAAAAGTAAATAAATGAAGAGAATGAGAAAAAAAGAAGAAATTAAAACTTGAAGAAATTTGTACTTTAAGTTTCATTGTCCCGACATAAACCGTTCCGCAATTAACCAATTTTCTTGGCTTACGGAAGCTATTTGCTTAATTTTTGAAAATCCTTTTGGTTTTTAATTCCTTATGCATATTTTCGTAGGCATTCATTTTTTATTATTACATTTGTCATGAATGAGTTTTTGTTTTGGTTATTTTCGCTATAAAAAAAGCTGATGTGTTATATACGTAGTGCGCTTTTCTCTTCCTATGTTTTTTTTCTACTTTTTTGCTTTATCTTAAGAGTTAATGATAAAAAAATTATTCTATCCACCACCAGGCTTTAAAAACCTAGACGACCCCACTCAAATTCAAGATTCGAGACAGAATCGAACCGATATTGTCTAAAGCAAGAATCCAAAATGCAAAGATAATTGTTGACCCCATCTTAACCGAACTGATACACGATTCAAAAGCTTATAGGTATATAGAAAAGGAACTTGAAAACCGCACGCTGAGCATATTGCACTATATATTTTGACGCATATACAGCCGTAAGACACTGAGCTTTTTGGGGCATTCACATATGTAGATATAGAAAAAGGGATTTTTTGCACTACTTCCTCTGTTAAGCAGCGGGTAAGGATTGCATGTTGCATATAAACATATTTGAGGAACTTATAGCATTTAGTACAACTAATAGCCGATCTTGTATACTAATTCGGTTTCTTTAGAGATCAAGCAAATAATTCAAGTTGTATACCGCATACTTCAGAGGATATTTTTAACTCATATTCATGAAACATGAACTATGATGAATAAATAAGATGTTTGCCATCACCTTTAAAGTGCTTTAAAGAAAAATCTCCGCCAATAGTTAACCCGTTACCGGAATCAAATTTAATCATATTCTTATGTAACATTTCACATCTGATGAAATCAATCCGCATGAGAATAATTGAAAGCCAAATGCAAATTCATGTTCCTCTATCTATTATTATTATCATTATTATTATTATTATTATTATTATTAATGAGTTAAAAGTGTGTGGGGACGCTTTGGTGGCGAATATACGAGATTCGCTCTGAAAGCGAATATAGTTTGCTCACTTGTTTACATATCGTAATTTTGGTTGTGTCATAGGTTTAGACTATAAAAAGAAAAACAAAGCTGTGTTATATTAACACAAGCATACGCACGATATGTGGTTGCTGTTCATTTTCAGTTTAAACTTCAATAAGAATTTTTTTTTTGTGTTTTTTCTTTTTTACAAATAATGCAATAAATTTACTGTGTCCATCTGTATAAATATGTAAAGGATTTTTATACATTTAAATGTGTGTGTCTGTGTGTGTATGTGTGTGTTAGTGTTTTAGTGTATTAGTGTGAGTGTGAGTGTGTTTGGCTGGGTGTATATATGCAAGAATATTCGAAAATATATATAAAAATGGTTTAAAGTTTACTTACAGCTTTCGATTTCGATGTGACATAATTGACGATCCATCGGAAAATATTGCAAATTCATAGGACACGAAGCCGTTATAGTTAATCTGTGTTAATAGTAGAAAACAATTTTATATTGAAGATAAAAAGAGAAATATGCAAAAAATGTTTTTTTTTTTCATAATAACAATGGATTTGGGGAAAGGATTACATAAACATATTTATTTTTTTTTTTTTTTTTTTTTTTTTTTTTTTTTTTTTTTTTTTTTTTGTTGATTATTACACACAAACATCGAAAAGATATATTCTTACACATGAAAATAAAAGAAGAAGAAGAAAGCTACACAAAATAAACAAACAAGCTGTTCTGTGATTTCAAAAAAGAGAGAAATTGTATTATAGTGTAGTTTGGAGATTTTTGGGTGACGACGGTGTAGAAGAGAAGTTGCATAACTTTCTGGGAAAGCGCATGTATCGCATCGATCGATTCGTCTTACCAGATGCGAGGAGTTTTGCAACATCTTCTCACCGTACATGGATTTGTTTAACTTATTTCACAAAGAAAAAAAAAAAAAATGAAAAAAAACTTTTGCTTATAAGTTTTACTTGTTTTTTTGCTTTTCTTGTCGCTTCCCTTTCAAGTCAGGAAAGTGTAAAATCTTAGCGAGTTCAATTGGAAAGTTATTTAATTGTTTACACGTGTGCGTATATGTATATTAAGCGAGGGGGAAGATTACATATATTAATATAAATATATATATATATTATATATATTATATATATATATATATATATTATTATATATTATATATTATACATATATGTATATATATATATATATTTATTTTTTAAATAAAGGTTAATTAATATATATTTATTAAATTCATAATATAACGGAGATCTTATGATTACTACAAATAGGAAATTGCATCACTTTCAGTGTACGGCAAAAAGGTTATACCAAAATAATAAATCTAAATAACTTGTAACTTTTATACCCACTACCGAGGGATAGGTATTATAACTAGACGTGAAAAAAAAAAGTCGCCATATAGTATTTACAATCTTGTCCGTCCGTCTATCCAGTTTGGTTAGAATTTTAAAACATTTGCTATATATGATTTTATATTTGTTTCATATATCACACAGCCCAAAAATACGCCCACGACGACAAAGAAGCGGAAATTTCAATGTGATTTTTCATGGGATATGTTTATCGGTATAAAATTTTCATTGAGAACATTTACTACGGATGTCTAGAAGAAACGTTTGTTTCGTCGTGTCCCAAATGATCGTCGGCCGCGTTCTTAGCTAAAGTAATGTATGATGGAAAAGCCGTTGACATTTATTTTAAACATATCCCTGAGCGATAGCGGGTATCGAGAATTCGCCCCAAGACGAACATAGTTTTCTTATTAGTTCGTTTTGGTTTTTTTGTTATCTAAAGGCTTTTTTAAGATGGAACAAATGTTTATACTTACATATTACACACGGTTACCTTATAAATGCTTATAGTAAGGATACGCGTTATGTATATCCGTTAAATTTTTTTTCTTGTTTTGCTCGTTTGCAGCAGTTTTTTAATGCAGTTGCGCTTTCATGCTAACATTTCTTTGTTTTAGTTAACTTTTTATTTATTTATTTATTCTTTTGTTTTTGTTTTTTTTTTTTTTTTTGCTCTAAAATTTCATTTCTATATGAATTTATATGTAAGTGGTTATATACATATGGCTGGTAAAAATTTTCTATTTTTGTTTTTTTTTTTTATTTATTTATTTTTTTTGGACAGATTCTTGTTTTAAGGTAGTAGAAAATTAAAATTGGAGAAACTCCCAAGTCTTGTTTTTATGGAATTTCTCCAGCATGGCAAACCTTTTTGTGGTGTAGCAAAACACATTTTGTCACCGAAATAAATTTTATATATGATTTTTTCAAGCAATCATTATATATAATACGAGTAATATGAACATGCTTTTGATACGAGTTTATAATGAAATCCTTATTCTTTTGGCCGGTTCTTTGGTAGGTCTGTATGAAAGAGTTGGTGGGAGAGGATCATTTGCCTTAATAGGTTTCTTATAAATGAAAGGAATTCTCGAGTTATAATTAATGCTTATTCAGTAGACAAATACATTTAAAAGCCAATTGAACTCACTGGTATCTGGTATTATTTTTTGCATATTTTTTTGTTGAACTCTTTTTATTATTATTTTGAGATTTAATTTTTGTTTATTTCATGTTATTCTATACGAACATGTTGGGACAAATGCCGACAATTGTGATATAAAATGGAAAATTAACAAGTATGTGAAGGAATTAATAAGAGAATGAGAGTGAGATAATGTTATGGAGCGGAATAGAAACGATGGAGAAAGCTTTTCTTTTTATGACAAAAGAAGAAGAAAAAAAAAAAAAAAAAAAAAAAAACACGCATACGAATATTTTAAACAGAACGTTAAACTAGGAAGAAACAGCATAAACACATACATATACATTCATTTATATAAGGAAAATAGCAATAGCCGTTGAGAGTA